AGTTGGCCATGTGCCACACATGTTGTTAGCTTGAAGACCAAGCTAATAATGTAGCCCACACGTAGAAAAACTTGCCTTATAAGTCAAGGCATGTGTCCTACAAAGTCAACACATATTGGAGGTCCTATAGAACATCGCCACATAGCTCCTAGTTAGATAGTATATATAGAGACAAGAGTGAAGCCTTCTTCACTCTTGTCAACTCATTTCTTACTTCTAGTCTAGTTTCAAGGCTCTATAATTTTCTTGGCTTTTGGCAATAGCCATTCCAGTTTCTTTCTTAATATACATAAGAAGTTATTTCTATTTTGTCATCTTTCTTTGAGAGAAGTCTCATTTGTTTATTTGTTTTTATCATGTTCTTATCCTTGACACTACTAGGAGCAACAAGACTAATTAAAAATAAAGATATAGAAATTATTGAAGCAGCTTTAACATCCATATTAAATCATATTCTTTTTTATAAGGAGGAATATTATTCAACCATCAAAGAACCAAAAATTGCCTTACTTGAGAAATTAAATGGCATAAAATCAAAGTTTTAAAGATTCATTAATCAAATACAAGTGATTGAACTTCATCTCAAAGTTATCCAACTCAAGGATTACAAGTCAAGTTTATTGGAACACTATTTTCAAGTTCTCTTTTATCATGATTTTATATCTTTTCTTAAATAACATAATCCAATTTATATAATTTAAAAGTTTTTTTTGGTAGAATTTTAATCCATGTATAAAAAATATGATGCAATTTGTGTTGTAATCAATAAGACTTGTATTTTTTTCTTAAGAAAATTAATTAATAATATTATATGGTTCAAAATTTTGAAAACTTATAATTAATACTAAATAGAATAATTATGCATTCATCAACCAATTTCTATATGGATTATAATATAAAGTAAAAAAATTATTACTGAAATTATTTGATTTTTAAATATTGAGTCAAGGAATTGATTCTATTATATATGAGAATTGACTATTTGAACTTTAATCTCAAAAGTACACAAGTAGGTCTCAACAATTCATAATTCAATGGCAACACCAATAGCTTTTCAAGACATACATTTACAAATAAAGGACATATAAATTGACATCATATGTTCTAAATCCTTCATTGAAAAAGAAAATATTTGACATTATCAAAAGAAATTATGCTTATATTATAGAGAACTTAAATACATTACTAAATATTATCCAAAAAAATGACATAATTACAAAATAAGAAAGATGAAAATTAAAAATGATCATATGTTGGAAAACAAATTTGTCCACCTACAATAGGTACTAAGCATCTGAAATCTTATACAACACCTATTAAAGGTTCTATTTTCCCTTCAAAACCCTCTCTTTGATTTATAATAGATGTTTATTTAGGATCTAAAAAACATAAAGCCTATGCCTTATTAGATTCAAGAGCTCCAACTTATTTTTTTGATGAAGATTTTATTAAAAGGTATAGATTTTTTTTAGTAAGAAAAATTTAATATATACAATGAGAATTTATAAATGGTCATCCTTTATCTTTAGAAAATATTACTTATAAAAATATGCTAATAAATATATCAATAAATAAAAATATTAAATTAGTGATATTTAATATTATTAGATCTTTTTTTAATCTAATTTTTTTAGATTTATCATGGCTAAAATTCTTAGATAGATTGAATTTCTTATGGTCTTGATTTTTTTCCAAGTAGAACTAAGATTTTTACTAACCAAATAGAAAGGCATAAGTTTAGTACAACCAAATCTTTATTTATAAGTGCAAGAGCTTTTATGAATGTTATACAAGATGGATTAACTTTGTCATTTATTCAACATCCATTTCTAAAGATGAAAAGACTTTAAGTGGTACCCCTAATTACTATCAAGATTATCAAAATACTTTTGTGAAGAAGAATATAAATATTTTTTTTTAGAGTATTGTCTTTATGATTGTTCAATTGACCTTAAAAAAGAATTAAACTACTATTTGAATTAATCTATAGTTTATTACAAAATGAATTGGCTAAATGCAAAAAATATATTGATAAAAATCTAAGTAAGAACTTTATATGCCATTCAAAATCTCTACTAAGTACTTTTATCTTATTTGTAAAGAAAAAAATAGATTACTGCAAATATGTTTAGACTATTGAAAGTTCAACAAGATTACTATAAAGAATAATTATCTTCTACCTTTATATCAAGAATTTTTAATTAATTAAATAAAAAAAAAAAAAAAAAAAAAAAAAAAATCTATAATTTATACAACTTAAGTTGATTTTTTGAAGTATATCATTTCAAACGATGGCTTTATGATAGATCCTAAGAAAGTCCAAATTATCATAGATAGAAAGGTTCCAAAAACAATAAGAGATGTTTAATTTTTTTTGGAATTTATAAGTTATTATTAAATTTTTAAATACAAGTTGTATTATAACAAGGCAAATGAATAAAATTATATATAACAACTTGTTATATATAATTATTATTATTATTAAACAATTTTAAGTCACTTTTTAGGACCATAAAAAAGAAAAAACAATATAGGTTGAAAAAATTAATATCATAAAAAATTTAAAGTAAAAATAAATAATATCTTCTATCAAAAATTACTTAGAAAATCTAGTTATTGATGCCTATAGAGGACGAATTCTAAACTTGACTCAAAATTAAATCTTGAGGTATAAAATTAAGTCTTTAAATTGAATTAGAGATTATTTTATTAATTAAATATATAAATTTAAGAGAAATAAGATAAAGATTTTTTAGACTTTGATTTTGATTGATTTAAGTTTCAAAAGACTTTGTAAGAGCTTTTTCAAATTAAGGTCATTTTGGAGTGACTTTGGTTTTTAGGAAATAAAAAAAATTAAAAATAAATAAATAAATAAATAAATAAATAATTATACTTTGAAATATTTTGTGAAATGTATAATAGATCTATAAGTGAATTTTTTTGGATTTGTGATTATAGTTATCTTGAATATTTTTTATAAGTTTAAATTTGATCAAATAATCAATTAAAGGTTGTTAAAATTCAAATAGGTTGGGGACTTAAAAATTAGAGTTTGAAAGGCCAACAAGGGTTTTCGAGATTATTAATAATCCACTAATTGGAGTAAGATAAAAATTGGTATACTAGTAAGAGACTTGATTTCTAGCAATTGTACAAAATTTGACAAGAATTGCACAATAAAAACAAGAGACATTGGTACTATGAGATTATAAGCTCTTCAAGCTCATTATAACTTTTCAATTATATGACATTTTAGATACAACAAGACCTTAGAATCAATCTTAAGAGATTTTAGATAGTCTCAAAGGTAAAGGACACTTAAAGATTTTATACAATCATATGATATTTGTTCAAAATCAAAATATCCTTATCATCAATTTTATGGACTTTTCTAATCACTACTTATATAAGCACAACTACAATCTTTTTAATTTCAAGTTTTTGTAACTCTATATTTGTGATAGGAGATTTTTTTACTAAGATGATACATTTTGTATTATATACAAATTTTATCATATATAAAGAAATAGCTAAACTTTTCTTTGATAATATTTATTACAATCATGGATCTTCAAGAGATATTATGTTAAATAGAATGACTCAATATGTATCAAGATTTAAGAAAATTATTTTTAAGATATTTATAGTAGATAGAGAAACATCTTTGATTGTCTTTCTTTAAATTAATGGACAAACCAAACAAATAAATTAAGTATTGGAGCAATATTTGATAAGTATTATCAACTACTATTAAAATGATTAAACAAATCTTTTGTTATTAACAAAATTTATCTACAATAATATAATAAATCCTTTCACACAAATTAAAAACTATGTTTTAGGAAATTGGTACCTTAGAAAGTATTTTTTAACCACAAGAAATTTATTTAGATAAAACCTTAATAAAGTTGTAAAGATTTGGAATAATTTAGTTCTTGTTTAAAATTTTGTTTATTAGCTACATAGGCCTAATTAAATGCTTCTATTATTCATATTTTTTTGAAGGAAAAATAGAACAATTAACATACATAAAAACTATTTTTGTCCAATTTTATAGAATATGAGCAAATAATGTGTAAGTTATACAATACAAAATGGAAAAACTACCAAAATAAATATAAAATCTTTCTTTAGAGATAAAAACAAATATGTAGTAGATGTTAAACTGTAAATAATAATATGATGGAATTCCAATATTCTATTAATTTTTATGAATAGCATTTACTATAATTAAGTTTAAAATGATATTTTAGAATAATTTTTTGATTGTAAAAAGTTCTTATAAAATTGGCTTGAAAATTGCATATTTCATAATATAGAATATATAAACTAAATTTTAAGCTCAAACACACTTAAGGATCTAGTTAATCTTCAAAATAATACTTTTCAAACTTGCATTGAGTATAATAAAAGTAATTATTTGTAAATAGGTAAAACTAATGGATTCAAACTTTGTCATTGATGGTAAGAGATAGATTTTTTGGCAATAATATAAAAGAACGTATTTTCATATAAAACAATTACAGAAATTTGGCTATTGATACTAAAACATGATGTAATCATTTTCATTAATGAATACCTTATTATTATTTAATTATATAAATACATACATACATACATACATACATACACACACTTGCATTTAAAGGTATCTTCTATCAAATTTATCAAATTATTAACATTGTTAATTCTCTATAACAATAATCACCAACAACACTTAGCATAGATAAATATATGTGTTACTTATTTATGTAGAAGATGATGCAAAAAAGCACTTGGCACAATCATTACAATGCAACCTTAATGCATGAGAACATTTATTATTTGAAAAAAACCAAGTCTATGAACCTAGTTTTTTGGAATCCGACATGGAATCATTACTGAATTGACATCTATTGCATTCACTTAGTTCCACTATCTCAAGAGATCCTTCGGATTTCACCACAACATAGTACGAAACTGTCACAATACCTTGGGTTTGGAGGGACAGCACCGCATTGCAATTCTTGAAAGTTCAAACTCTGAAAAACTACCTCGTAGAGAGGTCATGAGATTACAGAAGGACTACCATAACCAATTTGAAACGAGGAGAACGAAAAATTATGTATGACAAATACCTCAACAAGAGCTTTCATTAGAAAAGCTACGTAAACTGAAGATTTACGAAAGTTACATGAATTTAAGAAACTGTCGAATCTACGGTGCTGATACAAGCAGCGGCTGGGGCTCCTAATTTTGAGAATCCAGGAAAATACGGTTAACGGGTGCTGGCGTCGGGAAACTTGTTGGTGATACGAGTAATATACTTTACAATTGTCGGATCCGTAAATTTTTTTAGCTTCATCAACACCTTAAAAAGTTCGGGTGATCGTAAATGTTGCCGGCATGGCGCGTGAATACACATGTTTCCCAAAGAAAACAGAGAGATTTTAAGGGGCGATTCACTGCTTAACTCTCGCTTCTCATTGTTGGGGGCGGCTGCACACACAGAAATCACTTGACACAAAGCCTGCACGCAGAGACCATATGGAACACAATAAGCACATGAAATTTGCTAGAGCGCCAGCATCGAACGAACCTAACGATGGTGCGGCTAAATCGTGACTAGTAAGCGACAATAGCGTTTAGATGGAGAATTTCTAACACTGAGGCACAACGAGGATAGGTATTGTTCAGCTACGGACAGGATATAAGTCAAATTCAACTTTAAATATTCAGGTCAATAAGAGCGAAAGAGACTTAAGACCTGAATTGCTCCTTTTGAAATGATGTCATCACAGAGCCTGCTGGAGTTCCTCACAAGGTTACTGAGGGCACCAGCTGCGTTTGCTTTAGTCTTGTCTTCCTCATCCTCTAGCAATAACCGAGTCAAGTAAGGAATACAACGTTGCAGTTGATCATAGAGCCGATCATCATGGTAAGCAGCATTACCAACCTGCACATCGTCATGACTTTGGTCATTTATTCGAGAGCTCCATCAGAGAAAGTAGAGCAAGTCAATCATGACATTCAAATTACACCATTGTAAGAGAGTGTGTAGACGTGGCGAACATAGTTCTAAGCTTCCAAAATGAATAAACTTATATAATTTTGAAACGGAGGAAACTGAGGACAGCATACCGCAAAGCAGGCAAACTTTCTTGTGTGCCTATCCGGGTCTACACACCGGTCAATGAGAATATTGATAATATCATGCTCAATCTGTTTAGAATATACACATCCAAAATGCTTTATATCAGATTTGTGTAGAAGCACAAACACAACACAAAACAAAATCGAAGGAAAATTTAGCGGCCAATTAGAAATCAGAAGACCACAACCGTTGCAGACTTTGGGCAACTTGATAAGACCAGAGCGACATACCAGAGCATCGTAGAAGTAAGGCGTGTGACGACACATGTTTCCTAACGCACTGCAAACCTTGGAACGAATCCCAGGATCAGTGTGGTTGAGACAGGCTTTTAAAGCACCCCATATATTGGCCTGTCCGATAGGCTCATAAAAATCCTGTGGATAATTCCAGATCCGTGGTTAGCAACTTATAAGTCCAGGTCCCGAAACCCAGGAAAAATCAATCGGATATCAAATCATGGGTTGAGCCCTGTTACCTTGTTCATGCGAGAGAGATTAGATAAGGTCATAAGAACATCCCGCACAACTTCTTTGGGAGAGGCAGGCCCCAAGAGTTTGGCCATTAAGGCAGCTCCGAGAAAGCCCTCTGAAACCACTTCTCCTGCCAAAACTCTTGAACTTTGCACCATTCGGGCAATTAGCCCAACTGGCCTGCCTAAATCATTCGTATGTAGTAACTCCAAGCATCTTACAAGTGGAGCTGCAGCATGTACCTAAACAAGCAGGTGCAAGAATTATACTAAAATATATAGAACTAAATTAACTGTATTAAAAATTCGATATGGAAACCTTTGAGGTACACCCTTCACATAAATCTGATCTATTTTGTCCAGTCTGCTAATGCCGATGACTTCACAATATCAAAGGTAAACCAATTGTGAAGAGTAGCGCTCCTCGTTCTACTTGGCAATGTGGACTATTCCGTTACAAAATTCTCAGCTGCATAATTCCCTGATGTAAATACATCTTATGTTCATGATGTTGTACAGATCATCGCATGTATAATTAAAGCAACATAGAGTTGATGAATTGCTTAATATCATCACCTTAACGACACCTTACCTCTTGCAGGAGTTGCCAGTAATGAGGCATGTTTGCTGACATAGCCCTGGTTAATTCAGTTCCCGAGTCAGACGCCGTTCTCCCACCAGGTGAGGGAGAAGCTGCACTATTTGGAACTGAGGCAGGAATACTCTGTGCTTGCGCAAAAGGAAATTCTAAAACTCCAACAATCTCATGTACCAAAGCCCGCAATCCATCACGACCACCACCATTTCCTTCCCACAACTGTAAATGAGAGAGATGAACTCGATCCATTAAGTCCAGTATGGACAGCAAAGATTCACGGCGAAATAAGACATCACGATAACCTCCACCCCGAAGGGTATATGCTAAGGCAGAGACGGTCCAGGTGACACCTACAGGTGACAACCCTATAATATCATCTCCTAAGCCATTAGGGTCATCACAATCATCCCTTTGTTTTGAGCCGCCAGCTAATAAGGTCACCAAGGCAGCAGGGAAACCCAATGAACAACATTGTTCAGCAACACTTGCACCTCCCCATCGAAGGCGAGCCTCAAGCAGTCCAACACATCCATCTCGGATCCCGTGCCAGCTTGTGAGCATACCAGAATTACGACCTTGTGCATCTTGGGTTGGAAGAGCACTCTGGGGAGATATTTGAATAAGATTACGAAGGGTAGATAGAGAGGGAAAGGACGGCAATGATAGCGAAGTCTCAGCAGTCCAAGGTGGAACTCCACTTTTCTGTTCAAGACCTTGTTCAAGTGCAAGAATTGATGCCAAGGCCAGCATAGCTGCAGCACAACGTGCTGGTAAAGAACCACCTGAAATGAAAATGATAAAACTAATTAAAACAGAGGTCCAACCTTGAAGACTCCAATACAGAACTGCGGTTAAGCCTCACAAGCATGACAGATAATGAAGTGTGCAATCACGAAAGAATTGAGAACAGCTCCATTCTCGAGAGTAGTCTTGGTGTAAAACTTATCGAACAATAAATTGAAATTAAAAACTACACTGCATTGAAAAGAGATAGACATGGGCAAGTTCAGGTACACGTACAAGCTCGGATATATACGTGGAGTTACCTTTAGAAACACTCTCGATTGAGGCTTGGTGAGCCAGAGCGGCCAATCTTGCACGCTGCTTTGGCTGAGAAGTGGTGAGTATGCAGCTAGCTCCACGTCTCCCTCTTGAAGCCAACCCTTGCGCAACAGCAGCAAGAGCTAAACAAGCATGGGTGATGAGATCTCCCGTTGTGTTTGTCATACCTCCGTCAGCTTCATTTGGCCCATTTGAAGCTGCCACACCTGGAGCTCCATGCAAGGACAGGACTCTATAAACTGCCCCAACTGCTGTGCCGTCCCCACCTCCACTAATTGTGTTATACGATGGTGGTTCATGTGTTGGAATTCCTGTTAGAACATCACATACCAACTGCGAAAGGTTGCAACATCCGAGTAGCACCTGAAAATACCACTTGAGAATTAGTTGATTCACCTCCAGCACAACAGGAAACGGTGCAAGAGTTCAGAACGATATCCTTTAATTTTCTTGGCTGTCTGCAAAGTCTAGCAATAATGAAAAGAAATCTCTTTCTCATCTGACTCCGAAAACAGGTACATAAAATTAAATAATGCAATATTGGCATTAATTACTCGCTCTATTTCTCAACTAAACAAAGAAAACAGAAAGAGACGGCGAATTTCGACTTTACTAGCACATTAACATCAGGATTGAGATTGGTAGACAGATTTCAATCTTCGCTCCTAAAAATTTCAGAAAGCTCAACCTACGATGTGGTCCTATGTAAGCAGTGTGTACAAACCTGGATAGTTGCAGAGAGTGCAGCATCAGATCCATGTAGGAGGGCATAAGATCCTGCAACCTGGACACCCTTCGACTTAGCTATACAGTCCGTCACAGTCTCGATCACCCCAGAAGCTCCATCGTCACTTCTAGAGCCTTCTTGCTCTCCCTTCTTGTCGTCGGCCCAATTTTCAGAGAAACCTCGCAAAGCTGCTAAAGGAAAGCCCTGCTTTTGTTCTCCCTTCCCTGATGCTAGCTTCATACTGGTCATAAGAGCCCATAAAGCCTTGTATGCTTCACCGGCAACTGGCGCAGATGTGCTTGCACCGGAAATGAGATTGGATCCTGAAACAAGACAAAGAACCTGATTAAGAAGTGTATCTTTCACTCCGCACTACTTGATTAGAAGAGAGTTTAGTAAACTGCACCTTTCACATGTTACCAAAAATTTAGTACAGGAAGACAAGGGGAATGAAATGAACAATTGGTCCAATTGTGCAAAGCAATGCAAAAGACTCCAGACCTGCAGCAAAGAACAGATGCGAATGTCTAGTCTACGGGAAATTATACTACCTGTTGCTCCCAAGCAAGAGCAGAGATGATCAGCAATGTTGTGCACTTTGGCTTGGGTGATAATCTGAGTCATTGTTTGCCCTTCCACTGTAGCTGCACCACCGACATTCTCAGTTCCATCTGCACCTGACGCCACCAATGTTGCAAGCCCTGTTGCGATTCTTGTAAGCAAGACTGCTACACAAGACGTCGACTCATATAAAACGCGACCAGATGAATCGTGAGCGTATGCCACAGCCTGTTAAATATGACCATCAATATCTCCAACGTATAAGATTACATACGCAGCATGAACCAATCACCAACACATAATGATGATAGATCATTCATGAAACACAACTCGTTGACAAATAAAAAGCTTTAGTAAATCCAACAGATAGGTGTTAATAGCCGAAAAACTGGCATCGTTCCCGATGATGAAAATGTTCAAGCACGAAACATTCTGGAAGCCCAACCTGAGGATAGAGGCGTAAAAGTGCAACACTAGGGTGAGCGAAAGATTCATTTATCTTCCCCGCTCCAACTTCGATAAGCTTGCGCAGAACACCTAGTCCCTGAATCAAAGAACAAAATTTATCAACTCTAAACATATACGTAAAATACCATATTAGTTGAACGAGATTAGGATACTCTTTTTACCTAAAAAAAGGCTCCAACTACCTTGATGAGGAGGTGAACATGTTGACCATTTGGAGCAGTCAACGTAGCCTTCAACAAAAGTATTACAGTCGGGATGACGTCCTCGACAGCTACAATCTGACTGATAGCGTTTCCAACAAGCAGGTTTGATAAAATGCGCAGCGATTGAGTAACTGCTGAGCTTGCCTGTTCACTGTCAACCAAATAATGAGAATCTTTACCTAACAAGAGCTGTGGGGTACATAGAACATTGTCACTGTTACGGATAAAACAGTGATAAGTGCGCTACCACGATGGTTTTAACATGTGAACGCTGAGTAGTTTGGGAAGAAGCCAACCAAGGAATTTGAGATATACTAGATCATTACCTAACAAGACCTGCAGTGTCCTTGGAAAGAAGATTGCGGAAAGGATGCAAGATGTGGGCTAGAGCACCCCTATCCTGCCCAACAGACTGAGCTCCTTTAACTGTCCTTGATGTGCTTTCTATTTTATCTAAAGTTGATGTCGCCTCCACACCTGCACATGAGAACTTCAGTTATGTATAGAGAAACCAGTTACGCATCAAAACCTTGAGATTACCTACATGGCAATTAAGAGCATACAATAAAATCAAGCTGCAACAACATAGATGAAGTTGATCCGTGCATACGAACCAGTTGTTCTGTTCCTACTTAACATTCCGCAGGACATAAAATTTCGATGACACAACAAAATGTTCGAGGGCACACTAAAACCAAAAACGATCATTGATTAGAAAATTTCTAAGATTAGTAGGAAACAACACTTGATGCCTCACAAGCGCAATTTGAGATCCTTTGCACCTGAAATAGATCATTGAACAAAAGCGACGACAGCAGGGAGGCTCACAGCAGTCGACAAAAAGACTTGAGTTTATTGCAAATATGAAGAGTGGGTAAACCCATAGTGTACCAGATGTAGTAGGCGTGGGAGTAGTTGGATTTGCAGAAACACCAGCACCCTGAGGAGTATGATTCCCATCGGTAACCAGGGAAGCTACTGCAGTACGGTCATTAGGAGCTGGGCTTTCTGATATAGTTCTCGTTCTTCCTAGAAGGACGCCAAATGAGTTCCATGTTAAAGCAACACAATTACAGAATCCATGTGACTAGCTAATGCATGCAAAGCCCATCAAACCCACAAGGACACGGTCCTGAGCTATGTTTATTCTGTACTTTCTCATGGATCTTAAACTATTTTACTGCAACTAATACATTTACAGTGTGACTCGTACTTTTCAATTTTTTTTTAAAAAGTCGGAGAGTTATTTCTCTCTATACTGCTGATTAATCCACTGGAAAATCTACTTTCACACTTGAAACGAAGGAATTTCACAACCATCACTTAGACCGGACATGATTAAATCCAAGTTCATGATAACTTAACATGTGAGAGCTTGGTGTTCAGACTTCATTACAACAACCTGACAAAGATTACACTAAGCAGACAAAGGGAAAAAAGACAAACCAACGGCAGGACTGGCAGCAGCGCTGCGACTAGATGGCATTGGCGAAGCCAAAGTGATATTCACTTCTCCTCTCCACGCTGCATCACAGCCTCTAGCTGCAGCGGTCGCTGCCCGAGCATCCTGCAAATCATTCAGTGATGAACATGAGAGCTATTATTTACAACAACGACCCAAGCCTTCATGCTGAAGATAAAATATCAGAAAAAATTCTGAATCTCCTCAAAGAAGACATTAACGTGCTTATTTAAACTCATAAACGTACCCTTGCAGCCACTTCATCAGCTGTCTCTCGAACAAAGGGGTGCTCCAACAGACCAGGCCAAGTGAGGCGGTTTTGAGAAACCTGTGAAATCACAGCCTTGAGACTTAAGCTAATTGTTTTGATAGGTCAAATTTATGAGAAAATATATTATTCTTAATCAAAAGATCAAGTGTTATTGTTCTACAATTTTGCAGACTAATGTCACAAACATATTTTATTAGTTTTTTTCATTTTTGCATGGAAAATAACAATATTCTAGCTATTGTAAATTTTACTGAGCAAATAGCTAACCCTACTCTAACTTGAATATTAGGGATTTTTATCTATATGCACCTCGCTAATTGCCTTAGTGCGAGTACCACTTATTAAAGAGGCTCGCTGAAAGTAAAATAAATGATTTACTGCTGCTAACTGCGGACTACCTATGAAGCACTCCTCGTTCGTTTTATGAATCTTACCGAACTTTCCGAGTAATCAAAAATAACAATATCATAAAACAAAGACTCGAAGTCAAGATATTAAGCATCAAATTTTTAAAAGGTACCTTGTTCAAAAGACCTTTCAAGAAACTTTTAAAATTCGGGCTGATGCTATCAGGATACTTTACAGGGTCCTGCATATTAGCACAACATATGATTTAAAAAGATGCATCCACTACTTGCGGTAAAGAGCATAGCGTATGGGCCATGACGAAAGTACAGAATTTCGGTATAATTAACACTAATCACACGAGAACAATATGGAAACTCTAAGGATGTATCACTGTTGAATTCATTGACCTCAAGTATTCATCGCCCCTGCTCCTCGTCAACACAGACCAGCACTACATACAGGAGGAAGTAGTATCTGGATATCTTCGAAATTAGATTAAGAACACTAGATGTATGGAAAGCACACGATATCTTGAATAGAGAAGTACCTTCACGATATGTCTTATAAGTGTGTATACTGAGTTTGTGTAGAAAGGTGGCTGACCAACATAAAGCTCATACCTGTTCCAGATATCCATAAAACCATCAGAGAATTACTCTGTCTTCAGACATACACAAACACCACAATCTAGATAACAAAATTGCACAAAAGTGAATTACTAGTCACCACAATACTGGACTAACAATTTCACACAAACATAAAGACAAAAATAATTTAGATGTGCTAGGGATCCAAACTAAGGACAAGATTTTGGCCACCAAAAACTGAATGAGTCACTGAAGCTGCAAACAAAAAAACTTACAGAATGACACCAAGGGACCAAAGATCAGCTGTGTGGTTGTAAGGTTGCTCTCGAACTAGCTCAGGAGCCATGTACAGCGGCGTCCCTATGTGCGTAAATCATATCAATAACAAGCTGAGTAAGCTGAGTAAACCGAAGTCCTAAGTGATAGAGTTGAAGTGATACAGATGAAGTGTTCAGCAGTAGGAAACCATGAGAAGAAGACATGATTCTATATGTACGTAAATATGTGTGTGAGCGTGTGTGTACCTTTTATAGACCGCAAAACCATTGTGTTGCAAGACATCGCCCTCGCAAAACCAAAGTCACAAAGCTGAAATGGCAAGAGAACAAATTTTTGTATTAAAGCTTGCAGGGCATACTATAGTAAAGAAATCTTTAAGGACGTCAATTCATATTTTGACGAAAACGTGTACCACTGCGACGACTTATTCGAAAGAAGTTCAAATCATAAGAAACGCAGAATTCCAATTGTAATTTATAATCTAAATAGAAAACTCGTTTCGAAAGCCAAAATCAAGAAACCTTTCAGCAACAGGAAAGGCTCATTAGCAGCATAAGCTGGAAAATGAAAACCAACACATGAATGTTTGTAAGTAACTACCTTCACTATCCCTCCAGCACCAATCAAAATGTTTTGTGGTTTCATATCCCTGTGAATGATCCGGTGAGAGTGAAGATAATGCAGCGCCTTGACCTGTAGCTCACGAGACCAAAAATCTTCAGAGTATAACTGCAGCATCTAACTGATAATGAACTTTCATAGGTGCAATGACAAAATTAACGTTGACATTTTCAGAAGGTAAACTAAGCTTACCAATTGTTTTGCTATTGCTTGTACTTGAGCCTCTGGAAGATTCTTGTCATCTTCCAGGATTTCAAACAGTTCACCCTATTTCCAATCCAGGACAATAAATTAGATATCAGCAACTTAAACATTCAAGTGCTTTATCCATTTGAGATAACAGGAATGTGATACGATAGCGACAAACAGATCAGTTCGAAAAGCATGTCATTAAATATTATCCTTCCATATGATATGACATCAAAAATTCACTGCACCCACGTTGAAAATGAAATCCTGTTTTATTCATCTTAAATCCTGTCTCTGTTATCAAGGGACTAGGAAGGCCTTCCTTCCGCAATGAATTGTAAGACTTTTGTAAATAAATTGCACTCCGATGAAGAGATGCAATGAGATGCACTTGCAGAAGGACATACCTGAGCAAACTCAGTCACAACACAGAACTCCTGGGGGCTTTCAAAGGCATCAAGCATTTCAATGATATTCTCATGCTTTAATTGCCGCAATATCTGGAGAGACATGGTACTTAACGAATTGCAAGTATTACAAATCCCGTCTTTTGATTATTTCTTTAACACATAAAAACTACATGATTACATAATCGTGAAAACATGAAGAAGAAATTCCAAAAAAAGATGTTCACCTGATCAAGGACTATATATTGTAAGGAACAAATACAGACTTAAATGTGAACGGATTATCTATTTACTATTTAAACAACCTACTACATTTATTCTCATGGGAACCCATGGAAACACACCTCAATCTCCTGTCTGAGATTATCAATATCCTTGTCGCTCTTGCCATGCTTGAGTATAAACTTCATTGCAACCGTCTGCAATCAATGTGGAGTTATCGCAAGTCAATAGATCGACGAAATATTCGAAGCAAAACCCGGATGTAAAAGAGTAACCGCGTGAACCATTGAGGATCTCTGCTTAAGTGACATGCTCACATGATACAAGTGGTAGAAGGTACTAACCTGACCCGTGTACTTCCGACGGCCTTTATAAACTTTACCAAATGAACCCTCCCCCACTAATTCTATCACATGATAATTTTCCACGCCCATCCTGCAAATAAATCATGAAAGGATGAGCTACTCCGGCTAATGAGAATGAAATGAGAATGAACGATCATGCCAAAAATGACATCATTGTCATAATTACACTAATGCAATGCAATATCAGGGAAAAAGGTATCCACATAATTTGTCACCCATTCAGGTGTATGCACACCATTATACTTCATTCTAACCAAGAGGCAGACAGTCTAAATCAATAAGAATTGCGTTCGCATTCCTCGAAATCCACAATCCAGGTTGATTCCGTCCATGACAGTAATCAACTCCTCGACCGGCAATGTCGACCAAATTAGGTGTTTTCGGGCCACAATCACAAGTAGACTACAATCGGCTGACTCCACATCACAAATCTACAGCTGCAGACAAGTTCATGGCCTCTAAAAGTCTGCGACATTCTAAAAATAATAAAGCGAGGTCAATGGCCACGGCCAAGAAAAGATGCATGGCAGATCCTTTAAAAAAACCTTTAAGGCTTGTACAAAGCTCTAGATAAGTACCATAAATAAGAATTTAGCGGAACAACAATGTACGTATCTACCTATCTGAGGTTGCTGAGCAGTTCGCACGCACAGATAAACTACCTCCACCTCCTCCCCTTGTTCGTAGTCGTCTACACCCGCCCGTCTCTGTTCTCGAGCCCCTTTGCGAACCCAAACCTCAAACACCGAGTAAAAGGCGCAACGGAGAAGCCTTCTAAATGGATCGGGGTAGTAAGCTAGCGAGGAAAGTCATCGCGACCTAAGTCCGTCCTGTGCCAGCTAAGTCGACGAGCACATGGCTAGACCAGGGTGCTGATTCTGATATGCACAGAGAAAATGTGGCCACAACCTAATTCCGAGCAGCTGAACCAAGGAAAACCACCAAACCAACTCTTCACAACCACAACCTGGCATAATTCTCAACCTACTCCCCTAAACACTCCCGAATCCGTAACCCTAACAAGGATAATCACCGCATGACGCCAGATGTCTGAAGCAAGCAAGCAAGCAAGCAAGCACAAAAGCTTCAGCAACACCATAGGGTCGGGGGTTTCATCTTCCAGGGTCCTCCTGATCACCGTACCCTCCCTGCCAGTGACAATCTCCTTCCTCTCTTGCCCTACGTAGGATACAAATCTGTAAGACTTTCTTCCACTCGCCCCAAGCTCAACGCAAATCCTTTCCTGGACAGTGTTTCTCAAGAGATGCAAGTGTACATAGCTAAATCCTAGAGCGATAAGGTAAGAAAAACAATGGCGTCGATGGTGGCAAGCGCTAGGTGCTAGCTAGAGTTCGACAACAGCTCTCGCAAAACTGCTGCAACGGAGTCTCACTACTTTTCAAAACCAGCGGAGGGCGGGAAGTCTGGTCGAGGCCCTTTTTGAATAGAGCGAGGCTTTTTTCATTGGGTACCCATTGTTCCCCTTTGCGTGCACCGGTTGTACCCGGTTACTCGCTGCGTGATTCAAAGCACAGAAGACAACCGTCTTGCTTTTCTGCCCCCTGTTTACCGTCAATTGGCGGTGGATCCCAAGACTCTCCCCTTCGTATTGATATGTCCACAACTGTAGCTTTATTATAAAGATAATCCATAAATATTTTTGGGCTTATACTTACATTGGACGTTTTTTTGATGAGTATTAAATATCAATAATTTTGAAGTATTATCTATGATAAGCAGAAATATATTTTAGTTTGATATGTTGTAAAGTTGATGAACATGATTCTTCTAAACTAATGCTTTAAATGTGGTAAAGCATTTGAGTATTCATTCAATATATTTTGGTATAGTAATCAACTAATTCTCATGTGGTAAATTCATCATAGATGTTATTTTTTAAATATCATTGTATGTATTACCTTTGGTGTTGTATGGCTGTATTTTTGCGTTTAATATTTAATAGATTAAATAAAAACTTGTATATTTAAGCACACAATACGTATAAAAACATACTACTTAATACACCAGATTTACATGCCAGGGTATATTCATTAAATTTCAATTAAAATTCTCAATCAATGAGATGGCTTTATAATTTTTACAGATAAAAATTTAATAGACTTATAATACCAAACAACCAAAATATAATATTTTAATGTAATTGTATCTATAATATCACCATGTTTATAACTATGTCTATATATTATGTGTCTGAAGTCTCACTTTAATATATATATATATATATATATATATACATATGAACGTTTAATTTTATTAATTTGTCTATTGGCTTATTATACTCATGCAACTTTATAGCTTTTGTATTTTTTGATAAAAATATTCTAAAATTAAATGTTTTCATCTCTTTGATATAAATAGAGCGTGGTAGTTTGCTTGCCATTTAGAACCACCTCTGTAGATGTTTCAATGGAAGATTTAAGCAACTTTTTATTCCTATTTTAGCAAAGAGAGCATGGGTGTTGTATCTATATTATGATGCAAATCTTATTTGGCAAACACTTAAGATACTATAAAGGAAGTCTTTAGAAAAGTTAGTAACTTAATGTTTGGCATAAAAATTTGAGATTGTATATATGTTTAAATAAATACAAGTAAATAAATTTGTAATATGTATTTCTCTATAAGTGCTTGATATTGTAGTTGACAACTCAACAATTGATTTAAAAGTTTGGTTTAGGTGACATGATAATATTGCAGACTCTAAATGTAAGATTTAAAGTAAGGTAATTTAATGATAAGAAACAATTTAAATTATGGCATTTTAATGTAAAAAATTGTTTAAAAATTTAATAAACTAAGAGATAAGGTTAAAAAAGTGTAGAAAAAAATTAGAGTAAGAGTTATAGATGCAATTTTATCAAGTATTGTTTGTGAAATCTTGTACAATGTTGTAAAGAAAATTCAACATCCAAGCTATTACTAAAAATATAAAATTTATATTTGACAAAATTATTGACATATCTACTACTCTAAAAGCAATGATTTTGTATATTACATGGAAGAAGAATATTAGTGTGTTGGATCACTTAAATACATTTAATAAGATCATGTGTAAGTAAAAAAGTATTGATGTCAAAAAGAAAATGAAGAAAAAACTTTTGTTTTTTTATCTTGATGTTGTTGTCTCTATCACCTCAACATTTGATCACTATTTTGTTGTATAAGAGAGTAAAATAAGTCACTGTTATTCTCTTATTTAGTAAGATGAGAGGAAAATCAAATAATAAAGCTTTATATTTTAAAATACTATTTATAAGAAGTAGATTTCTTTAAAAATCTATAATTAAAAAAAATAGTTTAAAACATAAGATTCAATTTGATAAATCAAAGATGAAGTGCTATCAATATGTAAAATTAGGATATTTTAAAAAAAATTTACAAACAATTTACAAAACAATTAAAAAAAGATTGGAGTCAAGATAAATTGAGTCATTTAAAGAATGCTAATTTTTTTGGTTAAAAAAAAAAGATTAAAAATATCTTTAATATTACCACTTCAAGTGACAAATTTTGGAATGTATGGTTTATTTTATTTTATTTTAATTGCTTGTATGACATGAATATTTGACAAGACTAGTTTTTGTATAGTCTACATACAAATAGAAGTATGTTAATTTTTATTTTTATAAAAGTATACTGAATTATATATTCAAATATATAGAGGTTTATCTTATTTATTTTTTAAACTAAAGTATTGTAATTTATTTATTTTATGAATAAATAATTAAAAAAAAACATGCACACACACACACACACACACATATATATATATATATATATATATATATACTCTAAAAACCTAAAGTAGACAATATCTTGAAAAAAAATTTAAAAAATAAAAATACAACAATAAAAACTAACAAAAAAATGAATAAAGAGTATAAAATGTTTAAGCTTTGACAATTAAAGAGAATAAAAATTGAAATAATTTGATCTGTTTTGAAAAAGAAAAATAATTATTTAATACTTTAATATTTTAGAACTTTTTTGTAGTAAAATAGATTAGTAGAAAGGCTGAATCAAACATTGTTGGAAAAGACAAAAGTAAGATAAGCTGTTCTAGGCTAAATAATGAACTCTTAGATGTAAATTTTAATATTTTTAGTATTTAAAATCTACATTTTTATACATTTATATTAAACTTAAGTTAATTGAGTAAATATCGAGTGGTAGTTCTAGAAATTAATTTATACTTAAGCTTTTTGAATGCTTGGCACAAGCAAATTCTTACCAAGATAAACAAATAAATAGTTATTTCAATTAAATTTGGATTTTAAAGCTAGAAAACATATCTCATTTGATTATAAAATATTAGTGGAAAATATATAACACATGTTACAAGTTTAATTTAGATTATTGTGAGTAAAGATGTAAAGTTTTTGATGAAACAATTATATTTAAAAAATAATTATCCACACAATAAGATGGATAATAAGACTGTATCTAATATTCTTGAGGTAGAGGTTGACGTTTTTTTGAAAACAATTCCATAGTTTTGAAAAGATCATAGCTTGAAATAAACTAAGAATATTCATGATAAATATTGCCCAAGTCTAAAATTACAAAAATCTAAAAAAAAAGCTATTCAGGTACAATAACATCTCTTCTAACTACAAAATATAATTAGCCTTCTACAATTTACAAAGCTTTGCTAGATAAAAATCAATGCTCATGAAAGACATCAAAAGACAAAGCAAAAGGATATCTTCGTAAAAACTACACAAAGGATTTATACAGTTACTTGAAGAAAAAATGACAATTGGCTGTAAGGGGATACATACATATATATATATATATATATATATAAAACAAAACGAAAATTTTTCAAATTGGTGGAAGACGTTGTATTGCTAAATTAGTAAAAATGTAGGTTCCCAACTGATAAATAAAATCATTTGTTTTATAAGTCATTGTCTTAGTTAACATAACAAATTAAAAATTTCTATCCAATGTAGATGATGCATATTTTATGATTAAATAATAATAATAAATATCTGTAAACATTATATTAAAAAATTGTAAAGATGTTGAATAAAAACTTGTCTAAGTTAAATCTGCTTGCTTTTTGATATATTTCAATTGCTTCAACTTACCTTTTGTAAAAGTTTTTAATCACAAGTTAATTTTATAAACATATGTATTTGTTTATTGTGTGTGTGTGTAAATACATGATATATAAATTATAAATATTATATTATAAATAATAAATATTATATTATAAATAATATATATAATTTTAGTATTCAAAATTTTAAAATCAATAATAAGGAAAATAATTTAAAAATTATAGATTAGTAAATTAAGAAATTTAAATAATCTTGAAACGATTTATTATTATAAAAATTTAAAAACTTCTTACAACATATATATATATATATATATATATACAGGTCCTTATAAATCATATAATTAATATTAATTCTCAAAAGAAGTAGGCTACATTTATAAGGTTATTTTAAAAAAATTAAAGTAACAAATAATATGACTCTGATTTAGATTATGTCATACTTTGAAAGTTCTTTAATATTGGCTTCAAAAAGTATGCACATGATAATGGCCTGAATTTTAAAAATTAAAAATTTTATTTTAAATTAAATTATTATAAAAAGCTAGAAATACTTATTTCAATAAAATTCAATATTATCTTATGAAGATAGTTTGTTAATTGGAAATTTCAAATAATTGGTAGTGAAATTATCTTATGAAGATAGTTTGTTATTTGGTAATTTTATTGAAATATTTGGTATGTTAATTGTTAATTTTGGTTTGTATTTCTGATGCATATTATTATAAATTTTGAAATTAAGTTATATATATATATATATTTCTTTTTATTACTATTATTTTGATTTCAATAATTTATTTCTACCAATTAAAAAGAAATATTTGTATTTTCTTTTTAAAATAATATTAATAAGGAAATTAAAAGTAAAATTAAAGTTTATAAATATTTTAAAGCAAGAAAACAAAAAATTATGTTATTAACAAATACATGTAAATTATAGATCAAATTATTTAAAACTTCTCAATGTAAATTTATATTTTATTAAAAATAGTAAACTCATTATGTAATAAAATGTTATACCTCCTTAATAATGCCAAGTTTTGATAGATATTTTAATTTTTAGAAATGCTAAAAAAACAATTAGAACTAAAATAATTAAGTAACCAATTTACATTTAAATAAATAATTTTATTTAATTAAGAATATTGATGATTATACCAAAAAATAAATATAAAAATAAAATATACAACTCTTATTTTTGTATATATATATATATATAAATTAAAATTTATAAAATATATTTAAATACCTAAAATATAAAAAATTATTAAAAATTATAAAAATCATTTATATAGTCATATATATATATATATATATATATATATGAAGTTAATATAGATTAGTTAAATAGAATGACTTAACTTTTAAACTAATTTATATTTTATACATTTATAAAATATTTTTAAAATTATTTCTTTGCACACTTTAATTGTATATTTTAAAAAATATCTACAACTTTTATGAAATTTATAAAATCTTTGTAATAAAAAATGTCATTCAAAAGTATGGATCAATGCTTATAGAACTTAAGATTTTTTTTTTCTTTATAAAGATAAAATAAAAAGATCAGATATTAGAGATGTATGTTAAAAAATGATAATAATAAAATCGTGATTATGACAAATTTTCTAAAAACATATAAGAATTACAAAGTTAATATGATTTTCATCAGTAATTTAAATATTTGAAATAAATATAATTCAATTGCTTTGTGGTTTTTTTTATGATGGTTTAGAAATAATATTGAGATTTTAGTTTTTGTATGTAAGTAAATATTTTTAATTTATGTATATAAATATTTATCACTTTTTCCATGAACCATTATCAAACTTCCTTTCTTTCACAAAATTATTATAAAGATTTATATTTTGTCTTTGATCACTCTTATTACTCTCTTTTTTTTTCTATTATATTATATTTTCTTTTATTTTTTGGATGCATCAAGCTTTCTTTCTTTTGATTCTTTCCTAATTTTTTATTACACAAAATTGCTTGAACATTGTCACATGATTAATATATATATATATATATATATATATATATATATATATTTATATGTTTTTGGTGTTCAATAAGAAGAACACAACCTCAAAATTTGGAGAAGATAAAAAGAAGAAGAATATATATTATAAAATATGAAAATGTAAGAATTAGTAAAATATTTCATTACAAAGAAGATTTAAAAATTATTTGACTTTAATGGTTTAGACTTGTTTTATTAAATCACACTATTGTTCCTGGTATATTTTGACTTTCTAATTTCATTAGATGGAAAGTTTTACATGATTTTTTCAGAACATTTAAAACATTGTTGAACTTTTTCCAGTTCTTTTATTTATTTATTTATTTGCAATGGGATTACAAAAAAAGTGTACAACATTTTCTAATTTTTGTTTCCTCCTTGGGAAGTAATATACTCAAAATAATTACATATTTCAATATTGTATAATGTGATTTTTGTTCTATATAAGAAAATAAAACAATCAGAAGCAGTTTCACTAACGTAAATAAATGAAAAACTCTAATCCGGCAAAGTTTTATTTACAAATGCATCAACGTTGCATATCAGTGACCTTTTACATCTTATAACATGCATTTTCTGACATGTGTTTCTTGTTTCAAGTTTACAATAAAATAATCTGAACCTGTTCATGTCCACACAAGTTATTTCTCCATGTTATTTCACACTGTGCTTTATGTAATACCCTTAATGAGACTTGATTGCCGTTGGCGGTAAAATCATGTAGAAAATGTATTAAAAAAAAGGGAGAAATAGAAGAAAGTAACAAAAAACTGAAGGCTCCACCATGTGTGAGGAAGGGATGGAGATGGGGGCTTCAGTTGCAGCAGCACCCACTTGGGTCCGAGCACTGGGCCAGTTGCATAGATCGATGGCATGGGCTGCTGCAAAGCTTTGCTCTGTCAACGGTGCAATGGTACACAAGGAGACCAAGCAAGCTCTTTCTAGTTCCGACAACAAACTACCGCAAGTTTTTGTGTGCTCAGCAGCAGACTCACCCTCTGATCAGCAGCATGTAAGGAGATGAGACAGCCAATGCTGCTGCAGCAGCAGCAGCAGGGCTGAGGGACTCGAGGAGTAAAGGAGGTACTGGCATTGTACGCTCTGTACAGAGCAGCCTCAGGAGGAGGAGGGAGGGAGAAGGAGTAGGGGAAAAACAGAGTTTTGATGAAGGTATGGAGGTCCCCAATTATTTTATTAAAGCTTCCCACGCGGGGGATATTCAGAAATGATGAAGCCATATTTAAATTTCGTGTCAGCCGTCTGGTCACGGACAAGATGGCCCCTGCAGACACACATGCTTAGTGCTCAACTCATAGAAAAATGGAAGAAAAAGGGGCTGCAGTCTGTTTCTGCTCATTCCTTTTGTGTATTCCTTTTGTGTACCCCGCTCGCGAAAAAGAACTTTACCACGTTCGAATCCAATATGGTGACTTACCTCGATAGAGATGTTCGATTGAGTTCCATTATGGTGCAATCTTTTGTGTACGAGGGCTAGTTGTTGCCAGTTGCTGGAACTAGGAGGGGTGAGCTTTTCCAAGGGCTTAAGTTGTGTGGTCGTGCTGAGAAGAAACTTTATTGATTATTGCGGATTCTGCTATCCAACACAACAGTGGGCAGCATCGACATGTCCACAAGAGCTTAAAGAAGATTTTCCATGTCCACCTGAGTCAGTCGTTATCACCTGGACACTGATGGTTGCTGCAGCAGAGCAACTGGAGCTGCAGGAAAAACAATTGCTGACGTTGTGTACCCATACATTCTCAGATTCAAGTAAACAGGGCTCAGGTATTTAAAAGCATGGAATAGACGGACAAACTTGTACCTCGCCCTCAGAGGGTGCAGAGAAACAACAATGTGAGGAGACAACAAATCACTGCGAAGAAACAAAATGGCAAACGTCGTTGACTCTGCGTTAGGTCAACTTTGTCATTATTGAATTTTACATGAAGCAGCACCTTACATCCCGCACCTGGTGATGTAGGAAGAGTCCATTGAAGAATTCACTGGCAATATGAGTGAATTCCTCGTTTTTGAGCACTAGAAAGGATTTCAAACATCAAGTTAGGCCACCTCTCAGCAGCTCAGAACATTCTGGAACCCATGTAACAGTGCACACTTGAGAGACTCCTCCCTCACAATCATCTTCTACTTCTAGGTGGTGTCGAAAGGTGACCTACTGGTTTAAGATATTGTGTCTCCATATATCTTGCTAAGTGAACAGCTGTGATGATACTCTTGCGAAAAAAATTGGTAGTTCACTGCATGTTATAGCTTTAGATACTTATTCAAATCTAATTTGATACTCAACATACAGGTAGAAAACTATGTGAAGGATCGTTTGTTGCAGCATTGCTACTCACCAATTACTCTCGATTATGCATTCACTGCTATTTGGAAAATTTCAAGCCTGAATCAGGCGAGCTCATAGGATCGCACGAACATTTGTGCTTTGCCATAAGAATGGATGTAAGAAAATTTGATGCTCTGTCCGGGCAGAAGGGTCTCAGACCAGTTGGGAAGAACGTAGACGTTGCCACTTTCGTGCACTTTAGATAGCCCCCTCAACGGACCATATAACTTGTGCACAACCAACTCTGCACTCTTCAATGGCCGGTTGGACTTATTCACGACTTTGCCAGAGAATTTGAACGACTGTTTGCCGTTGTGCACAAACTGGTCCACCAACATATGGATCACCATCACCACCTGAGCTCCCTTCCTGGTATTGCGATGGTTCGCTTGCATTCTCCGGTTGCTGTAAATCCCAAGGCCTCCATCAAGATGGCGCTGGCCGTTTACTTTTCATACATGACCAAAAAACAACATCAATATTCGTGACGTATGCACAAGATGTTTGTTTACTTATTCAATAACAACAACAACAAAAATAGTTTTAGTAAGTGAGTTAAAAGTCTGCAATACTGCGAAAATTGCTTGCTCCGAAAGGCTGAATTGATCAGTTTAAGTCCTACCTTGGAGAATGCCTGCAACTCCGTGGTTAACTCCATCGTCATTGTAGCCTTCGATCAAGTACGCCAATAAACCAACCAGGGGAGCTGTATTATAAAGGGCCGGTTCAGCCATGGCAAAATTTTGCCGAACATCTTGGTATAAATCATTCTGGTCGGGGCCGCCCACGATGCCGCCTTCCAGAACGAATGGATTAGGATCTGGGACCAAGTAAAATTTACCATATCCTTTCCTGCAACCCACAGGGCCATCAATGGAGGCACCTCGGTGGTGCACGCGTAACGGAAAATTGGAACCGAAGCCTATCATGTAGCTTTTGCCTCTGCTGTTCTTACCCAGAATGTAATCTACTTGCTGCTTGGCTGCCGCGAGCATCTCCCTCGTTGTGACAGAGGATATGCAGTGCTGAGGATTCTGACCAGCCGCTGCATAGTAATTTGAAGCAACGGACAGCAAGAAAGCAGCACTGGTCACATACTGCATATTGTTCCAATATTGCGTCCAAAACATTCCATCTGCATTCAAAGCCATCCACTGTAGTTGTCACCAAGAATTTATTGACAGCATTACGCAAAGAATTAACTGATTCCATGTACTGAGAGGTGTGCCATATCTGCTAAAATAATTTACCAGGACTCTTGGTAAGTTGTTTCCCATGGTTCTTCTGCAACGCTGCACACAGGAAGTACTCAGCTTTGGCCTGATATTGCTGAAGAATCTCAGTATAAGGCCCTGCATTGCCATCTAACAGTACCTGCCATCAGCACGGCAACCTACGTTAGGAAATGAGTTGGTGTTTCAACAAGTTTCAGTAGATATGCAATTGGAAAGCTTCCAAGTGGTTCTGCTGGGTAGATAGTGCTTCGTATCCAAACCTTCGTCGCCTTGACCTGGACACCAACAAACTTGTTATCCCAACTGAACAGATCAAGGGCCCATCCTACTCCTCCCAACGTGTCGGCATTATCCACAACGTATCTCAGATATCGAGTCTCGTTTGTGGCGTCATAGAGCCACAGAGCTGCCCACAGCAGTTCATCCTGGATTGGAATCATACAAACCATTATGTCAATACAGATCCTATCACTCATACTTTGAGGATCCATATCATAAAAACTCTTTTATGGATCTATCTTTGTCTTGGCATCAAGAGACATCAAGACTTACGTAGTATCCACTCCATGATTTGTAGTAGTTTTGGGCTATTGGAATGCTCAAGTCATATGCACCTCGATAGGTGTCCGCAAATGCAAAGAGCTGCAAAGAAAGAAACAACACAGAAATTGAGTTCAGTGAAATGTTAATTGCTTGCATCGCAATTGGTTTCTATTCGAACTTGTACAGGTATGTTTCCCGATTCAAAGGGCTCTAACATCCGCAATCTCCAGGGAGTCTCTGACAAAGGACTTGTACCCTCCAGTTTCGCATCATTATTTGAAGGGTGAGGATCTTCCATTACCTGGCGAGCATGGATTAGAAGCGTGGCGGAGTAACGAGAATTTGATGGCTTGAAGACGATCGATGCAGCAGCCATAGCAGCTGCTGTCTCTCCCGCTAGGTCGGATCCCGGATGCTCGGCGTCGATCTTGTAAGCCTTGCGTGAGGTTGTCATATGCTCTGGTTTCATCCAGCAGTAGTGGTCGGAATCTCCGTCTCCCACCTTGTCCACCAAAATTGCAAATGAAACCTTTAATTACTACTCTGAAAACTAGAATGGTTGGATTGTACTGCCTTTAAGAAGCACGTCAGGAGAATGGATGGGACTGTAGCAGTACCTCGCCCCAGAGAACATTTTCCTCAGGATGGCATTTGATAAAGTAATCAGTACCCCATTTGATTGCCTCCAGTGCATGATCGAGCTCACCAGCAGTCTGCAGCTCTTCTCTGAACTGAATGACATTCCAGGAGAGCATGGTGATGGTGAATGCCATGGGAAGTCCGTACTTCACATTGTCGCCAGCATCATAATACCCGCCCGTAAGGTCAATCTGCCAACGAAGGATAACACGGCTGATGCATACTGATAAAAAAAAAATTAACACAAAATAATCGCACAATATATTAGCAGAGGCATTCTAACAACCGATCGATCATCGGAATAAAATCTATTTTCTCCGAGAACACGCCATTTTACCTCGTGGGAGAGGGGCGCATGAATACATAGCACTTGTAATCAAATAGAAGGTCGGTCCATGAACCAAAGATTACAGCGAAGTAGGAGCTCACGGTTAAGAGATTAACTGGAGAGTGCATTACTCATACTTGCAACAAAAAATGCTGCAGTTCATTGTACCATGTGTTGATGGAAACTTACGACGATCTACTTGGGACACATCTGTGTAGAAAGAGGAGCTTCTCTTTACCACGATAGGACAACCCCTTCCTCGAAGAACAAATTCCTAACCCGCTCCCTCAACAAGTCTACCGGTCGGTAAAATTATTGTATCATTCTGAAGAACAAGAACTTACATCTTGCTCTAGACCGTCGCTCATGCCGGAATCTCCTCGCCATGTGACGCGCTGCGTGGGCGGCAATTTCCCAGACCTCTGAGCTTCAAAGAATTTCAGCGACTTCTCTAAAGCATTCCTATAGTCCAGCCTCCCCCCGTTGGCTTGCACTACTTGTCCAAGCACAGCTCCACAAGTACAGAAATGCAATACTACTGCAACCACATAAAGCCATCCCAAAAAATTTACTCTCAACTCCTCCATGACCCTCTTCTCTTCACAACGAGTCACCAATACGGGCAACACCATGACGCTGGGTGTCAAAGGCCCATGCTTGTCTGCAAGGTGACCTCCCCTCCCTACACTAGCCACCTCCCTAACAAATCCATAAAGATGGTCCTCCGATTTGAAATACTGATCGCCAGAACAAAATTGTACCACTCAAGCCTAAAGACTGCAAACAGTTACATGAGTAGATTTCCGAAGTCGATTGCCATGCCGCCTATTACCAACGCACTTCCGCGTTCCCCACAATCAACGCACAATGCGATGATTCCAGGTCATCTGACCGCTCCAGAGCTCGAGTCAACGTCCGCAAGTAGCATACGGTCTATACCACACCCAGCTCCACACCGTCAAAAATGTAACCCAGTTACCACACATACCCCTCGAGCTCATACAACTTGCTTGCGCAGTGTATATCATCAAGACACCAGTCGAAACTGCGCCAAAGTCGACTATGCCTTGGATACGAGCTGATAAGCCTCGAGAGTGGCTGTTAATTGCACGTCATTCCAACGCAAGCACACACTCACGACTCCGTCAGGTAACCCGAGATCGGGCGCAGCACCAAGAATATGCAGACGCTAGCGAGAACTGTCCTTTCACACAACCCGTATGGCAGGCGCAAGCGGGAATGTACAGCCTTTAGTGATGAATGTCAATGGTATGGGAGAGTTGTGCAGCAACAGATGGAGCAGCACAAAAACATCGCCTCCTGTTTGATCGACTCTGGTCCCTTCTCACCACACTCGCGCAGGTGAGGAGGGGCGAGAGCGATTTCAAGGTCATTTAGCTGAACACGACGATTCTGGCCAGTTTTGAGGTTTCTTGGAGTGGCAAAAGGATGAAAAGAAGCAGAAGCAAATTAAAAAACATGCCCCCTGCGAATGGGGTGTAGCGTGACTGTCGCCGCCGCGTGATCGTAACCCTCTGGAATGAGGTGTAGCGTGATGGTCGCTGCCGCCGACGCGGACGATGGGGAGTTACCAGACTGCGCCGATGTTCACGACCAGCTTATTAGTCTACCCTTTCGAGGTGGTGCGTCAACAAATCAGTCCAGAACCAATTCATTCAAACGTGTGGGGTTAATGAATGTCTGATCTGCGGCCGGCGAGTGTATTACTCCAGTTTTGGAGCGCTCCAGAATGAACTCCATTATGAACGCATCTCCTACAGTCTGAATATGTGGCCTCAAATCGTTTGTAAATCTTGGCGCCTAGCAACTACTTTGTGATAATCCAGACCAAATCATATTCAACTCTTGTGCTGATGTTGAACGGGCACTGTGTTGTCCCAATAGTAAATTTGTTTGTACGCCGTGAGTGCAGAACAGATGAGTGTGTTATTACAAAAACATGCAAGCCACGTGGATTGCTGGAGTTATGATAACTTCATCATATGGTGGGGATGTAAACATTCCATGACAGACTGAAAAGTAACTTTGCACCACCTGGTCTGTTAAACCTGGGCAGAGCGGTTCCCCAAGCAGGAGAAAATATTTCGACATTTCCAAAGACCAAAAAATGTCGCTGCATCTTCTTGCCTTCTGGCTAGTCTATTCACCAGCGTCTCAACCAACCACTTCCATTGCTGTGTATGAACTCACAGATAATTGCGCCACTGCCTTTTTAAAAGGGAAAAAAAAAAAAAAAAAAAAAAAAAAAAAACACCTCATCTGGAAAAACACAATAGCCAGAATCATAAGCCATGCCCCACAAATGTGTGCGAGTGTGTACTCATGACCACGAATGAAACCCATAATTAATTCCCGCATCACTCCAACTCCATGACACTGGGGCACGCCAACAACAAACTCCCCTCGCTACCTATATAGTCAGAAGTAGAACCACCTCAGTCGCAAACATCACTGAAAAGCTCTTCTTCTTCTCTCTTACCGACCTAACAAATCCCAATGCGAGAAAAAACATATCCGCAAATGGAACTAGGCTAATCAAATCAAAGCATCATTCTCCGCTAGGGTTTTAAGAACGACCACAACAGCTTCCAGTAACGAACTCTAAAAGAAACCATAGCATGGTCAACATCATCATCCTTATCATCATCATCATCATCAGAAACGAAATAACACCAAAAGAACATGAACCCAGCACGGATAATTGAAGAGGAGCTAAACAGAGCCCCACGAGTAGGACAGGCAAGTACACTTGGCTGCAATACGTGTACGATACCTACATGACAAAGAAGGAGTAGGAGGAAACGGGAGTCCTGATCCCGATCCCGATCACGAACGACGACGGTACAACAAGTGGTATTAAGGAGGCGAGGTGGGGTGGTGGTGGTGAGGCCTACGAATGGCCATGCTCGTAGGAGCGGGGAAGCTTTTCACCGCGCTGCCTGAATGGACGGGAGCGGGGGCTATGGTGGTGGGTGTGTCCATTGACGGCACACACACAAGCGAGTACAGGGGATGATGAAGCAGACTCAACGCAGGAGGAGGAGGGGGATCTTGTGTCCCGTGCTGCGAAGAGGAGGAGGCGCAAAGAGTGGAGGACATCAAACAAGCAAGAGGTATAGGTATATCATCTAGTGCCTCTCTCAAGAACCGCTATCACCATTGATGGTCACTACCTCCTTTTCATCCCACTTGAGGCTGACTTTGATAGGGTTTTGGTGCTGTTGAGATGATTAAATGTAGCCGGCACTCTTTGTAATATTTATTGCAGACTACAGTAAATATCATAGTTATAGTATTTAGAGTCTAGTGGAGAAGTACTGTTTATCCTGCTTGCTCCCTACTGCGCCCCGTGCCTGCCGCCAAACAGACGTCGAAGTGCCGTCGAACAGCCGCCAAATCCACCGCTGCCACCCTGTCGCGGCTGACGCTGCCGCCTGCCGCCGTCGCTGCTGCCCGCCGCCGTTGCCACCCTGCCGCACCTACTGCTGCCTGCTGCTGCCAATTTATTGCTGTCTTGCTGCCTTAATCTACAACTCATGGCAACAAGGTCTTAATCTTGTGAAAACATAGGAATGTGAAGTAAGTCATAAAAATTTATGTATTTTTGTTTTTTTCAAGTTCAAGTTTATCATTTTATTTGACTTTATATTTTAAGGTACGTTTTACTCAACTTTTCTACTTGATCTTGTATTTTCTTTACAGATTTATTTATAATGAGTGCTTCAACATCTTCAACTGCTTCTACTATGGTTTCAACTATTACCAGTGCATCCCAATATTTTCAAGCTCTTTTATTTCGACCATTGACTATGGATGGAAACAATTATCTATTTTGGGTAAAAATGGCAAAAGCAAATTAATTTACAGAACAACTCTTGGATGCCATTATGTTTGAAGAATCTCCTACAACAAGTATTTCTATATTTCCTGCTATTTGTTGGAAAGCACTTCTTCTCCTTCGTTGTCATCTTGTACCCGCATTACAACATCAATATTTGGAAATGAAAGATCCTGCAGAATTTTGGAAGAATCTTAAATCTAGGTTTGATCATCAAAAGACCATTTTTCTTCCATGTGCACGTCATAATTGGACACATTTAAAAGTCTTGGATTTTTCAAATTTAAATGCTTTCAATAGTGAAATGTATAGTATTGTCTTTTAATTATGATTATGTGGACAAAATATTTCTGAAGAAGAAATGATTGAGAAAACTCTCTCTACATTTCCTCCTATATCTGATGTGCTTACACAACAATACAGGAACATGAAATTTCAGAGTCATTCTGATCTCATGTCCTATCTACTTCTTGCGGAGAAGCAAAATGAGCTACTCTTGCACAATGCAGAAGCTCGTCCTATTGGAACTACATTTCTAGAATCTCATGCACTTAATATTTCAAAGTCTAAAAAGAAATTATATAAACATGGAAAACGTGCTCATAAGTATCAGGGTAGTCATAGTCAAGATCATTTCTATCCATATAGAAAGAATAAATGTTCTACTATTAATTATAATAGAAAATAAAAATCAGAGATGCATTCTTGCCATAAGTGCAAAATGATTGGACATTTAGTACATGCGTACCGTACTTCAGAATATTTTATTAAAATGTTCTAAGAAAATAAGAAATTACGAGCTGAGGCTCGTGAAGTTCATACCATGGATGCGTCCATGGATTCAATTGGTGTTGATGACTTAGAGGCTTATATGAATGATAGAACCTCTAATGATGAATCAAATGATGGGCTCATTGATTCTGCAACAACACATACTATCTTGCGAGATAAATGATTTTTTATTGAAAAATCCTCAACTTGGCAAACTAAAAATATGATGACCATGGCTGGAGCAAATGCGTTTTGTTTCCAAGAGGGCACAGTGATGGTAAAATTACCCGCGGGTTCTATCATAAAATGTAAATATGTGATGTTTGCGCCCTCAGCACCTCGGAGTCTGATCAACTATCGAGATGTGCGTATTAATGGTTATCACCCCTCGACTGCCACTTTAAATAGAAAAGAGGTTTTGGTTCTTGCGAAGAACCATAAAGTTATTGAAAAAGCTTTTGCTATAGAAAATAGTTTATACTGAATTGTGATTCGGCCTCCCATTATATTTAATTTTGCATCATCTATCTTAGAGAGTCATGTTTCTCTCTGACATGGACGATTGGGATATCCAAGATCCACATTATTTAGAAAGATCATTCCATGTATAACTGGGCACAATTTGAAGCCTGCAGATGTAGACTCTATGGAATTATGTCATGCATGCGTACAAGGTAAAATGATTACTCGGCCTTCAATTTGGAAACTTCCATAAGAATTACCACCAATGCTTGAAAGATTGTATGGTGATATTTGTGGTCCTATTAATCCAATATCAAGACCATTTTGTTATTTTTTGGTCCTTGTTGATGCATCAGGTAAACAATCACATATTTTATTATTATCAACTCAAAACATGGTATTTGCCAATCTTATATCTATGCTTATTCACTTTTGGGCACATTTTCTTGATTATCCTATAAAAATATTGCGTATGGATAATGTAAAAGAATTTGCATCAAAGTCTTTTGAAGACTATTATACTGCAACAAGAATCGAGTTGACATATTGTGTTCCATATGAACATGTTCAAAATGGACTTGCAGAGTCATTTATAAAGCATATACAACTCACTACCTAGCCACTCTTCCTTCACCCAAATCTACCTACATCTATGTGGCATCATGCAGTTTTACATGTTGCACCATTAATATGCCTCCGCCCTTCTTCTCTTGAAATTATTTCACCACATGAGCTTATTTCGGGTCGTGTTCCAAATGTATCTCACTTACGAGTATTTGGTTGCCGTGCTTGGATTCCTGTACCAGAACCTCAACGGCGTACTATTGGAGCTCATTGACAAGAAGGCATATATGTTGGTTTTGATTCACCAAGCATTATTCATATTGTTGATCCATCAACTAACACATTATTATGTGTATGTTTATAAAATTGCCATTTTGAAGAAAATGTATTCCCATCTCTTCGAAGAGAAATATCCAATCAACAAAGAAATAAAGTACTGATATTTGAAGCACCAAAAACATTTACAATGAATCTCGATCCTAGGACATCTTTGGCAGAAACTGAAGTTGCTAAGATTTTGCATTTAAAACAGATCGCGGATGAAACATCTGATGGCTTCAATAATGCACCTAAAATTACAAGAGTTCCTATTAATGAGGCTGAGAATGCACCTACTCAGATTGCAGTGCCATTGGTTACAATACCTCAAGTTATAACAACAACTAAAAGAACTCGTGGACCAGATAAGCAACCACGTAAGAAGAAAATTATAAAATTAACTAATCCTAGTATTATTTCTCAAGAAATTGCCACTCATCTTGTAGGACTATCAATTCATGATGATATATCCATGCATAATGTACTTTCAATTCCTATGAAAAACAATCTTTGAATTGGAAGGAATAAGAATAAGTTGAGTAAAGAATTATCTATTCTGTATTATGCTATAGATGATATTTGCAACAGACTATCTATTACGATAGATGAATCATTTACATATATGATTATAAAAGCCCTTTCTTGCGAGGAAGACGATCCTAAACCTCAAACCATCGAAGAGGCAATGCGTCGCTCTGATTGGTCAAAATAAAAAACTGATATTTAGGAGGAATATGCCTCTTTGTGTAAGAAGAAAGTCTTTGGTCCAATTGTAGACACTCTTACATCTCGCCTTATGGGATATAAAATGGTATTAATATGCAAGCGAGATACTCAAGGCCAAATAACCCGATATAAAGCTCGTCTTGTTGTTCAAAGATTTACTCAACGATTTGGCATTGATTATAAATCTACATATTCTCTAGTCATGGATTCAATTACATTTAGATATATTATTGGAATGACAGTTCATGCCACCCTTGAGATGCATCTGATGGATGTAGTTACTGCATATCTATATGATTCTCTTGATGCAAATATTTATATGAAAGTTCCATCTGGCTTAGAAACAGGAACTCCAAATCAACCTGCTTTAGGAAAATATCATGGTATTAAATTATGTAATGCCTTGTATGGTTTAAAACAGTCCAGACGAATGTGGTATCAACGTCTTCAAGATTATTTAATTACAAATAATTTTATAAGTGATCCACTAATCCCTTGTTTGTTTATCAAACGAGATAAAACTGGTTTTG